GGGAGGGGGCGGAGTTGGGGCGTGGGCAGGGCTGGGGGTGGGGCCGGGCCCCCGGGGGAGTGTCCTCCATTTGGAGGCACAATATATGGTAACCCTAGCTTTAGAATCCATCAAAGCTGCTTCTAACTTGACATAGAAAGTAGATGAATGGAATAGAAGCTCCCTCTAACCCCAGAATCTTCATGCTCTCACATTTTAAAAAACGAATCACTGTTCCAGAAGTTAATTTCACTTACAATAAAATAACAGATATATTTGTTTAAAACCATGCTTGTACAGGGTCCTTTCCAAGCAAATTAGAAGCCTTAAGTTCTGTCCTGAGGAGTTTACAATCTATATTAGACTGACAATGAAGAGACCATGGCAGAAAAGGGGATTGGTCAGGAGACAACAGAAAATAATAGCAAGGGATTGCTGCAGCTGCATTATTTTTTTGCAGCGAGATCAGATAAGCCTATTTTGTTTCACTTCTTGTTTGCGATAAGTTTTTTTTTTTCCAATTTAAATTTCTGAGTTTCCTGAGCTTTTTAGTGTTCCTAAAATTGTTATTGCCACAGACAAAAATTAATCTGAGGTATAACTTTTAGATCTAATTTGTAAGTACATATTTTTTAAACCTATATCTTTTGCTGGATTTATTTTCCTATCTTGGTTCTACAGTAGTTAGGATTTCTGCTGTCTAATACAGTTCTAAAGTCTGGTTCAATAGGGTATTACATTAGAGAGGAAAGGAACTATATGGTGGGATATTATCTATATAGATTGGAATTTGCTGGTAAAGGCCCTGATCTCCCACTGAAATTAATGGAATTTTGCCATTGATTTCACTGGGGATTGGCCCCAAAAGGTTGTTTGAAAAAAAAAGTCATTGGAATGTTTATCAACAAAGTGCCTAAGTAATTTGTGAGAATGAAATGTACTTATTGCATAATGGAGTGCTAGAAAATGTTCTCTCTTTCAGAGCAGTAAATTACCTGACACTTCGACCTTTACCATCATCTTTGTTCAGCATATATTAATTCAGGTTCTTAACATAAAGGGTATGTCTACACTGAAATTCAATACCTGTGGCTTGCCCATGTCAACTGACTCAGGCTCGTGGGGCTTGAACTCTCCAAGCTGACTTGGGGCTGTTTAATTGTGAGGTAGGTGTTTGGGCTTGGGCTGCAGTCCGAGGTCTGGGACCCTCCCACCTCTCAGGGTTGTAGGGCGCAGGCTGCAGTCCAAGCCCGAACATCTGCACTGCAATTAATCAGCCCCTTGCCCCAAGTCAGCTGGCACAGTTCCCAGAATGGCCACTATCATGTTCCACACCCGGTATCCTTTTTTAAGGTCCAATATGATCTAATGTTAATAGTGCTCTTAAAATGATGGAACCAAGAGACTTATCCTGTTTGTCTCAGAAGAATTTGTTGTATTGACTATGAAAGAATACTGTTAATTTTGGATCAAAGTTAAGGTTGTATGATGATGAAACAGGCGCTTCATAAACAAATACGTTTTATAAAGTATAATGTGGGCAGACATAAAATGCTTCAACTATTCAAGTCTTTTGTAAGTGCTTCAGTTATGTAAAAGGACAGAATAGTTAAGTACATTGCTACACAGCAATCTTAATTGGGTTTTAGTTAAAGTTTTGTGTTGTGTTTTAATAATTTTATGGAATTAGATTGTTTTAAAATTTGTAAATAGATGGGATGGGGCACTAACTTATGTTAAAGAAGTAAGTGGCGGTCCTGCAAAAGATGGCTCTGCAGAAGCTTGCGTTATCCAAAGCATACCAGAGAAGTTCACTCCACAGTTATGTTACGCATGGACAGAATAGCCTATCTTCACTCAAAACAGTGTTGAGGAGTACAGTCGCCATCACCAGGATATCCCTCATGTTGGTTGTGTGTGAGGGGCCATTGATGTCTGCTCAATCCATATTTTTTCAGGTGGAAAATCGGTGGAACATGGAGGGATTAACTTTTGCCCACTACTGTTGTCCTGATGACATCATAAATGGCTACTCCATATATTTTAGAGGTTTGGGAAGTGGTCCTCTATCTATAAATCCATGTGGGTTGATGGTTAAAGGAATTTGGAAAACTTACAAGGGTAAAACCTTATCTAAACAGGATAAGTTGCACAGGTTTAATAAATTTATTTTAAATCAGTCAAGCTAAACTGATTTAAGGGATGGTCAAACTGGTCTCTGTGAATCTACATTAGAGGGTTTGCACTGGTTTAATTATTAATTTAGTCAAACTGGCATAGACAAGGCCTACAGTTGGGGCTTGGCAGGAAATCTTGCCTCTTTCAAGGAAGGGAATTAATTACTGGTATCTATTCATTAAGTTAGCATGACTAGCAGCTTGAAGGGACTTCCAACTGCTAATTATAAAAAATGGGCAGGTTGTGTCTGCCTTACAAGAGACAGACATATAAGCAGGCAGGGAAGAGGAGCTAAGTGACTTTGACTTTCTTATTCATTTTATCATTAGGAAAATGTAAACCACCATAATATTTGCCTACACTTCTCCTCCTTCAGAGATGAGTCTAAATTGTTTGCCTCAAGCAAAAGAAGGTTGCTGCTAGTTAGTTTTGTCTTCACCTTACAGCTACATGCAGGTTGACATGGAATGCATTTTCCTAATAGTGTCAAACTCTTTCCTTCCTCTCCTCCTCCGTAGCAGTTTCCAAGTCTGAGGTCTCCCTTCTATCTGCTCCTAACCCCTCAATTTGTCCTTTCGATATGTTCCTACACCCAAAACTTCTTTTGATTCTCTCCTTTATTTCTAATAGCTCTCTCTTCACCCTCCCCTTCCTTTGTGCTTTGAAGCATGCTTTTGTTTCCCTCCCCTCCCCTCCCCTCCCCATCTTGGGGGAGAAAGGTGGAGAAAATTTGATTCTACCTTCACTCTATCTTGCCTCCATATACTGAGTGCAGTATCTAGTCAGGCTGCATCTACATCCCTCTTCAACTTCATCCTTGATCTCCTCTCCTCCCATCTAGCTTCTGCTCTTTCCCTCCACACATCATTGAATCTCAAGTTGCCTATATAGCATTTCTTCATTCCTCTGTCCCACCACAAATGCACTCTTTCCAAAAGTGCACTTCCATCCTTGCTCCTCTCCAACACCTTCTTTCCATGATTAACAACTCCACTATCCTACCTGTGTCTCAAGTTCATAACCATGTCATCTTTGACTTCTCTCTCCTCCCTGACTCATCATATCTCATTTCACTACATCCTGTCATTTCTTCTCTTTTAATATCACCAGAATCTGCCCTTTCCTCTCTTCTAAAACTGATTCCCATGCCTTCACCAACTTTGGCCTTAACTACCTTTCTCCTTCTGGCCTCCTTGCTCTTCCCCCTGCAGTCCAGAAAAACCCTGCTGCTAAAAGAATTTTCCTTTGCTACTGCTCTGACTGCAGCATTCCTATAATCCACACATTGGCTTCCTGTCTCTTACTGTATTAAAATCAAGCTTCTTATAGTCCTCTTCAGGGTCATGCATTTACATCTTGTTCTCATTTCCCCCCCTTTTATTCTCGGTTTTCCCTCAATACTCTGTAATTCTTCACCTCTCCTGCCACTTTAGGCTCTGTGCCTTATCTCACACGCTCCCTATGCTTGGAACAGTCTACACTCTTGTCTGTCAAACACAGTCTCCCCTCCTTCAAATCCACATATTCCAGAAATCCTTTCCTAACTTCTCATAACCAATAACCTCCACCTCCTTCTGAATCTGAGCTATTGGCCCTTGATTAGTCTTCATCTTGCCTAGATGGTAAGCTTATTGAAGCAGAGGATCCGCACTCTGTTTGAAAAGGATCGTGTCAGTTTTGTATATGTTATAAATAAGGCTATGATTATGTCACAGAGGTCATGGAATCTGTAACTTCCATTGACCTCCCTGACATTTTCTGTCTGGGGCTGGAGTTCCTAGCCAGGCCCGCCCTTGCAGCTCCCAACCCCCAACCTGGTGGGGGGGATGGGACCCTGCAGCTGCCCAGATGTGGTGGGCAGCGGGGACTCCCCACAGCTGGCCAGCTGCAGCCCTGGCCAGCGGCTGGGAGACCCTGCTGCCTGGGGCGAGAGGACCCCACAGCAGCCCAGTCCCAGGGGTAGGGGGAGCCCAGAGCTCCCACACACCGCATCCGTGTGGGACCTGGGAGCCTCAGCAGCAGTGGGTGCTGAACCCACCTACCCCTTTTGTCAGGGATATTTTTAGTGAAAGTCAGGGACAGGTCACGGGCTGCCGTGAATTTTTGGTTATTTCCTGTGACCTGTCCCTGACTTTCACTAAAAATATCCCTGACAAAAACTTAGCCTTAGTTATAAATAAATGTTGTGGACTCAGATTGCATTTTGCTCTTGGTCTCACTGTGCTCATGTGCTGTAGAATATATATGCTCAAGATCCAATACAGAGATACTGTTCTCAGAGCTAAGGAAGTATAAAATTAGTTAACAAAGAGCAAACTTGAGAGAATACTCAATGGAATTGAAAAGCAAATGAGCAAAGAAGAGGAAAACTGAAAACCATTTCATAGCTAAGTAGATTCAATAATCATTTCTCACGTGCATCAACAGTCAAACAACTACTTGGAGGATATGCAAACAAGCCTTCCAACAGTAACACTAAATGAAGGATTTGGACGAAAATCTTTGTTTAGTTGCATAGAGCCGAGGGTTGCATTTTCTCCCCTCAAAGTCCCTGGATATGTTTAGTGGAGATTTTCTAAGGCCTAGTCTACATTTCAAAAGTTGTAGCAATAAAGCTATATCACCAAAATCCTCCTAATGCAGACAGAGCTTATACAGGCAAAAATGTACTTTTGCTGGTGTAGCTTCTACCAGTTTGGTTAGTGAAAGAAAATGCTAGCATAAATATGTAAAAGAACCCTAATCAACATTACTATGTGGACAAAATTAGACCTGGCCTAAGAATACGCTGCTGAGGAGTACTTGGGTACGTATTAGAAAATTCAGTACAGATCACTGACTGAGGAGGTACAGTGACTGAAGACAGAGGACATCACCAGATTCCAGAGGCACTACTTGGAATAAAGACGTCTATAATCTGATTAGTACGTATTTTACAATATAAGCCTTACATTGAATGAAATGTGTTCCTATAGCAACCACCTGATTCATTGATTTCTGCCTTTTCTAGTTCTGAATTAGATACCTCCAAATTGGGTATTGAATCTGTTTTGATAAATCATATTGTCATATGTTATTTTTGTTTGTCAAAATGCATTGCAAATATTTACTTTGTTGCTTAGGTAACAGATTGAAGGAAATCAAGTTTTTAAAACAGAAAATGCTAATATTTGCAACACAAAGGACTAAAAAGAGAATAGGAAAATCTGAAGGATAAACTTAGCATTGAAATGGTTCTTTCTACTCAAGTCTTAGCCACGGAAAGAAGAGAGATTACTGCATTCACATAAATAAGTTTGTTTCAAAAGGTCACAACCAACTCACTCAAACACAACACAACCAAACAAGTCATCCAATCTAATGATATAGGAGAGCTATGTATTACTATTTGGGACATAAGAACTGCCATATCAGATTGGACCGATGGTCCATCTAGTCTGGTACCCTGTCTTTGACAGTGGCCAACACCAGAGGCTGAGAAGAAGGGGCAAGTAACCTAGTGATGGGCAATTAGTGAATAACCTCCCATGGGGAAGTGTTTCCCCCACCTGTATCACTTGATGGTTGTCTAAACCATTCTTTAAAAAAATCCTAATACACTTAATTGGCTTGTCTCATTTAGCAGAATTAAAACATTTGGCTAGCTCTTGGCCTCAGATAACCTTTAGAACACATTGCCACAAGGTAATAATGTGTGGTATTAATGTATTTCTTTTTAACAATTTTAAATGCATTGCCTTTCATTTTCATCAAAGACGTCCCTTGTGCATAGGGCACCCAGTTTACCTTCTCTGTATCATTCATTATTTTGTGTACCTCATAGCTCTCATTCATCATCTTTCTAAATAGAATAGTCCAAGTCCTTTCAATTTTTCTTCATATGGCAGACTCTCCCCATGCCTCTAACATTTTTACTGTCCATTTGAGATAGAATATTAATTTTATCATCACCGGTTTCTACACACACTACTGATCTGCCATTCCATCCTCTTCCTGTTGTTTACAGCCCTGGATTGTCACATTGTTTTATTCTACTCTTACAATACTGAGTATTTCTTATATAAATGCAAAATTCCACTCAACCTTAACTATGGAGCTGTGACTGAACACAGGGCTGGAAATCAGAAACTCTGATGTTCTTATTTATATACCAGATCTGCCACTGAGTTGCTAGGTGGCTTGGGCACTTGTCTTAGAGCCTGATCCTGCAACCACAGGCGTGAATAGACCACACTGAACTCAGTTCCTACATGTACTCACACACTTGAAGCATCAGGCCCATTAGTCTCCCATCTGCAAAATGGGACTAATTACCTCCCTCTCAAGATGGTGTTATGAGATTAGTTAACATTTGTGTAGCGTTTTGAAAATGTAAGTGCAAATTGTTACATGAAAATGTGGGGCTCTACATTTAATATTTGATTGGCATAGGAAGAAAAATGATAACCATGTGTGATTCCCCTTTATTTTATTACAACTTTCATTCAATGTGTAGTAGTATTAACAATTATTTTAAATGTTGGTTACCTCAATTAGTTTTCACTTAGTTCCAATAATCAAATGCATATATATATATATATATGGTATTTTCACCTGCTCAACATATCTGAAGCATAGAAAGTTTGCTATACACAGTTCCATTGTTCCAGGGATTTAGACATACAGCACTGCAGAACCCATATTATGGGCAAACTGGCTCCCACTGATTTAACCCCTCATCTGCTGCTTCAAGAACTTTAGTTCCCTGGGACTAGTAGCAAAGAAGAGAGGAGGAACAGTAACATCTGAGTAAATTATACAGTAAACAGTATGTAGTGGAGGTTGGAGATGAGATAGGATTTCTTCAGGTCTATTCATTGCAATTGGGTTTGTCCCAAAAGATATGTAAAATGGGATGAAGCGATACTAAAAATTGTTAGATGCCACTAAAGTGTAAGTTTCGCTATATGAACTGGATGTTAGTAGTTAAGGTGCAAGGTTTTCTATGTAAGAGCACAAAATGTTGGCTGCAACTTTTGACAGATGTTATCAATTCAAAAGACAAGATAGCAATTGGCAGCCTTGTTTTATTTAAGCAGAGTCACAGCATTGTCATCATCCCCCTCTTTTGAAGGGAAGAGTTAAGTGAAGACCCCGGAAATTTACATTACTAACAAATAAGGGATTGAAGAAAGGGATTACAAGCATATTTCACTAAAATAAATAATCTACAAAGAGAGTGTTTCTTCTTAAAGCAGTCTAAAAATGTATAAATTCTAAAGTGGGAAGATCAAAAGGTATTTAACAACTTCCATTATTTACAATCAATATAAAAACTGCACAAACCATCAAATGATGCAAAAATCCTATTCAAAATTAAAAGCTTCCTTCCTACTACGAACCAAAAACTCCAGCCAATGTTTCAGTTTTAATCAACTGTTTTCTTTAAAAATGAAAACCATTAAACACTTTTATTACCATCAGTAAAATATACAATAAAATAAAACAAACCTTGCTAAAAATATTTTCCTAAAAATAGAAATACTGCAGGCAAATCAAAAAGGAAAATAACTAACTTACTCTTTGGTAACCAAAAGTTAGCAAATATTTGACATTTCAAGTGATGAAAGTTATAAGAAGTCTTCCCATTTTGATAAATGGAAGAAAAACTTCTGGCAAAATGTAACCTCCACGTTTAATTTAAATGGAAAGGCTCCACCACTGCTCTGTGGTGCAAACTCTCAAATTCATGTTTTGTGATTAATTTCATTTCAGACACCTGAAACTTTCCAAATCTGGCAGTGTATTGCTTATTCCTCTCCCATTTTCCTATTATTCACTTACATTCTCTTTATAAATATGCATCCTGTTATTTCAGTTCTCGCAGTTTCCAATCAAGTAAGCAATTCACTTGGAAATGAGAGTGTGTTTGTGTGACTGTCACTATGGCTGCACAGCAGCTAGTACTGTATTACAACTGTGCCCACTCTCCTGTGTTAGGTTTAAAAAGTGTATATTTTCCTCTGGAAAAATGTACCTACACCAATTCATAATCTATTAATCTTTTTACATTAATACAACATGCTTAAATTAACAGGCGCCCACACAGAAAAGAAGTTGTGCAGCGCTAGCCCTGCTACCTCCAATAGGCCACGCATCTCATCCACTTCCCAAGCCTCAGAAATATAATGCCTTAAAGCAACTGCCCCTTTGTACCACAGAAGCTTTCCATCTTCTTTTCAGGCTTACTCTAAATTTTGCTCCCACAATCAAAAAGTATCAAAAAATTCACACCCCAAAGGATCTGAGGAAACTCTCTCAGACAGGACTTTTAAGGCTTATGAAAAAGTTCAACTGTTACTTTCTTTAAAGTCACAGACCACCTACTCAAAGCAAGCCCCACCCTACCCAACCCAACCCTGCAGAGCAATCAGTGCTCCAGTGTTCAATGCACATATGAAGTTCATGTAATAAACGCTCAGCAAAATAAACTGTTCTGGACTGGGCTTTCTCCTGGGATCTGTTGCTTACTCATTCTATATACCATCTGAAAGACTAATACCAAATGCCTTTGTCCTCACTTCTTAACTTTTTTCGTCTGAAGGGCTTAGACACTTGTTTGAAGCATTTGGTTTTACCAGTTGAGTCATTAAGTCTAAGTGGGTTGGAGCCTTCGTCTCATTGGAATCGGCCTCCTCAGCATACAGAAAATCATTCATGTCCATGTCATCGCTGTCAAACACATTGAGCTGGCTCTCTTGCTGCTCTTTTAAAGTCCTACGGATCCTGCTCTCTGTTGGTTCGACTGCTTCCCCATCTCCCTCGCTAATAACAGTCATGGGACTGCTCTGGATACGGTTCCGGACATTGTACTTGCTGCTGGCAGCAGAGGGTGGTGTTCGCGACCTGCCATACCTAGTGCTGGAAAAGGACATACTCCTTGGCATCAGGCCTTCACTCTTGGCCCATTCTTCCTGGGCCCTTTTGTTCTTGCTGGGGGAACAGCTCGCAGGGCTGTCGGGAAACTCAAGGGAAGAGTCTGACTTTGTTCGGTGGAACCTCGGATCTGTATTCTTCAGCATCTCTGCTGCTGACATGCGGGAACTGGTGTCTGAGCGGCTTCCTTTCTTCAGCAGCAGGGCTTTGAAGTTATCATTGCTGGTGCTGCTCTTGCGAATGCTTCTCTGAATTGATCCTGCGTGCTTCAGGGAAGCTAGATTTGGGGACGCACCAGTGGGTGTTACTGGGGGCGAAGGAGAATGGTTGCGGGTGCGGTCATCTTCAGAATCTTTGCGGCCAAGGACTTTCCTTTTGGATCTGAGATTTTAAATATAAAAATAAAACATTTTCCCCCCAAATAAACAAGGAAGTCTATTCAACAAACTAATAAGCAGGACAGCAAGTTACCATTAAACAGAGAGGGGAACAATCTAGGAAGTATAAATAATGACACCACCAAACCTGTGCATATAATAAAACAGATCTTTGAGGCATAAGGGAGTCAGAGACAAATCCACTATTCTTATTCCTCAGAATAGGAATAGTGAATCTATTGTATTTGACAGTGCTGATGTCCAAGCCAAACCAATACTTGACTAAATCTAGATATAGGCAGCATTCTTTTTGTCCACAAATATTGGGATTTGATCACAAAAAATTAGAGCTGTTGATTAATCGCACTTAACTCATGTGATTAACTCAAAAATTAATCACAATTAAAAACATTAATCACGATTAATCGCATTGTTAAACAATAGAATACCAATTGAAATTTATTAAATATTTTTGGATGTTTTTCTACATTTACATAGAAATATATTGATTTCTATTACAACACATAATACAAAGTGTACAGTGCTCACTTTATATTATTATGTTTGAACAAATATTTGCATTGTAAAAATGATAAACAAAATAAATAGTATTTTTCAATTCACCTCATATAAGTACCGTAATGCAATCTCTTTATCGTGAAAGTGCAACTTACAAATGTAGGGGGTTTTTTGTTACATAACTCCACTTCACCTGTAAGCTCTAAAGTTTTACATTGTTTTATTTTTGAATGCAGATTTTTTTGTACATATTTCTATGTTTGTAAGTTCAACTTTCATGATAAAGAGATTGGGCTACAGTACTTGTATTAGGTGAATTGAAAAATACTATTTATTTTGTTTTTTACAGTGCAAATATTTGTAACCAAAAATAAAGTGAGCGCTGTACACTTTGTATTCTGTGTTGTAACTGAAATCAGTATATTTGAAAATGTAGAAAACGCTCAAAAATATTTAAATAAATGTTATTCTATTATTGTTTAACAGCACGATTAATCGCAATTCATTTTTTTAATTGCTTGACACCCGTATAAAAATATATCAGTCTAATCTGTCTGGCATATATTCTTTAGAGACTCATGCTGTTTATTGCTCATGATTCCTTTAGGAGAGCTTAGGATGTAGTTTTGTACATTTTTCTTTGGAAATGTACATGGTCAAGCATGTTAACAACACTAAAGATAAGTTTGAACTTAAAAGAACTAGATGTTATGGTTTTAGATAAAATGATTTTAAAAGTAAGAATTTAAATGGTTAAAATCAGGCCTTCAAGATAAATGGCAGATATTTACAATGCAGTTGGTGCTCTGTAACTCCCATCTGTTTGATTACAGAGCCAAGAGCAGACCAATTTGCTAACTTATAACATGAAATTTATCTTTGCAGCCAGAGGAGCTACATGATTTTAAATTTAAAAATAGAAAACTATAGAAAACACAGCAAAAATCAGAAGAGCCTATGTGTGCGGGAACTGGATTTTTATTGCCCCCGTCTTTACGTCATTATGTAGATTATATGCTTGCACCTGTGGACTAAGTAAGAATGCATATAAAAAGTGTATTAATGCTGTATTATAATATATATATATAATATCACCAAAGGATTAAAAATGACTCTCAGCACTTATTGCAAATGCAAGATTTACACAACAAATTACATGTTATTATTTACGAAAAGACTTGTACAATACAGACCATTCCCCTTATTAAAACCATAAATGGTACAACTCCATGTACACCTAAGGACATTCTGATGTAATGTTTCATCCCCATTTCTGCCAGAGGCTGAGTTTTCTCCACGGCAAGCTCAGATGCATTTGCATTATGGCCTACCAACACAAAACCAAGTACCAAAATACAGTACATCGGCTAAGCTGGAGGCAGCAAGAGGATGTAGCCACATGATATCGGGAGTAATCTCAGGACCCTTTGTGTTGGTGGAGTTCAGATGCATCCCACCTATTACACACCTGTAGTCAACTTATTGTGTAACTGGTGTAATTTTCAAATGCTGCTGCTTACATCTTTCTAGCTGAGAGAAAAGTGCAGTGCTGGCACCTATCCACTGTGAGGGAGGACAGGCAATGTTAAGGAGTATAAGGGGGGGAAATATTGCAACAGTGTTGTCCAAGACCAGGAACACCCTATCTACGTCAATCTCGGTGTCAGGGCCTACGCAGACAGGGAGAATAATGCTTGAATTTTAGAATATGCATTTATATATTATATGGGGTAGCTTTAGTGACCCCTATATATAAGTTGCCTAACACTTTCCACATATAAAGGATTATTGTAATCTTGTTTTTAAGAAGCTCTTACAGCTCCACTGTTTTCAGCCTGCCTTGGCTATTTTGCAGGAAGAATCCCCAAGGTCTAGAGAGATGCCTTCCTCCTCTTCCCCCCCATGAAATTCCATTCAGATTTGGCAGAAATATAAACAGTTAAAAGTGGTCATTTCCCTTCTCTTTCTTAGGTTCCTTGGAGAAATTGTGGCAGGCTGCCACAAACACTGAGCACTCTGAGTCCAGGCTCTCATGCAGCTGCCAAAGGGACACAATGGCAATTTCCTAGGCTGAAGTATGCTCAGTGAACGCAGTGAGTCGAAGGAGCACGCTCAGTGTGGTTGGCTTGGAGCTCTGAGGGTGTGCAATATCCTCAGTGGAGATGGAACATTTGCTGCCAGCCCGGAACATGCACAAACCAAGACTTTCAGAGGTTTATTATTCAGCCAAATTTCACAGGGGGAGCAAAAGGCACATCTCTAACCTAGGCTGAATTCCTTGCCAAATTTCAAGTCCCTGCTCCAAAGCATGGAGACATGGGACCTTCTCGATGTCTGGTTGCTGGGGAGGGAGTGGGGGGAGGGGGAGGCTAGAGTTAGGAGAGAGAGAAAAGAGTCCTAGCCTTGTTCTCAAATTGAACCATTTTTTGCTGAAACTTTCTTAAAAATTCAGCCTGAAGCAGACACCTAACATGGAAAATTTCAGCCCTAGCAGTTAAAGTTTAGCAAAATTATAAGCAACTGAAAACTGGGGTCTTTTAAAGGGAAGTCTCAGGTAATATTAACTATAGGCATCACTGCCAGCTCTATTTTATTTTTATATTTTGTGTATAATGTGTATATATGTGTGTGTATAGATATATCTACACACACAAATATACACATTTAATTCCATGTATGTATTCCATGCAGAGCGAACCTTTGTGTGTATATAATGTAAAATATTGCCCTCAATAAACCAATATTTCCTTTGTACAATCATTCTTTCAGCTTCAGACATTATATCACAATTTTCTTTTTTAAGGGATATCAAAAAGTTATGGAAAGCCAACATTGTGATATAATGTCTAAAATGGGGAGGATTATTTCACAAATGAAATCATATATGCGTCCTGAGTGTCCTGATTCCTAGTCATGTGCATTAGCCACAAGACTTCCTCTTTTCTAATATTTGTGATGGAAAAGCCACACAAACTGTGTACACAAACTGACTAATTACATTCCTAGTGAGTGAAAGTAACCAATGACAGTGACCCTTTGGAAATTTGGCCCATATGTGTTTTGAAGAAAACTACATGGCCATAAGATGGCACCACCACCACACACATTCCAAATATAAGTTCTTCAACTGTTCCAATCGTAGATACTTTTTTTCTGCATACCTGCTAGGTTAAATGGTGAACCTGCTTCTCACTGAAGTGTTATTTTTTTTAAATCTAAAGAAAGCTAAATGAAAAATCAGGTACCTAGTGAGTTGGGAGGTTTTTAAACAGGGGAATGATGCATGGAATCTGTATTGCACTCTTCATTGCTAAACCAGTTTGACACAAAATACCCCACTTCAGACTGGATTATGGCAAACTATAATCCAGCACTTGTCATATGTTTTGCCATATGACTGACATATTATGTTACTTGCCAGTTTAAGCCACGCTTGCCATGAAGCATTAGCGTTGAGCCTCTGTCCCAAACTGCACCATATAACCAGCGAAGGAGAGTAAAAGGGATGAAGGGGAAAGGGAATGAAAACAAAAAGATACACAGAGAAAGCAAAAGTAAAGTTAATCAGGCAGATTAAGAATAATACAATATACACAAGGTGTAACATGAAATTTTCAGGGGTCAGGAGATTTGTAGGATTATCAAAACTGGTTTAACTGTGAGCAATTTTTAATGTGGAATTAGTTAAATATTATTATAAAGCAATAAAATGCACGTTCTTGTGTTTATTACTGATTTCCTACTACAGTTATTTACTAGAAAATAAAGAGGGTTTTGCAGTAAAAACAAAAATGATCAAAATTAGGTTTCTTTGGAGGAGACTATTAACTGAATTGTGAGAGAGTTAGTGGATGGAGCAATACCGACAGCAATTTCCGCAGTACCTGTGAATGGCTGCAAACAGATCCTCAGTAGTTCTCGGTCTAGCTGGCGTTGCCACCTCCTCACTCCGTGCCCTGTAACTGTTGCTTGGCAGTGATGAATTATTTGTTGTGTCTGTCTCAAACACCTCAGCTAATCAGAAGGAATAAAAAATACAGACAGGCTGTCACCGGAGTCCCAAACTGCACATTATCCGCTAAAGCATCCCTCCGTATCCTTCACCTACAGTAAGTGAAACATTGAAGGGATATACTGAACATACTGTTTTCTCAATATTTCTCTGATTTCACAATAATTTTTTTTTTGAGGGAACTGCAGTGTCTGAAATGCCTATGTTTGTTTACATATACACAGCACAAAATTACGTTTTAAGGAGGTTTTTTTAGGGCTTCAATTAAAACTAGTCACCAAAATTCTTCAAACTAATCAGGTTTTCCTAGGATTTTTAAACAGATGATGCAGTTAACAAAACGCTGCTTGTATCTCCACTGCTTTTCTGACTAAAGGTTAAGATGGAGATAGAGAATCTTTATCAGGGATTAATCCGAGCCCTGTTATTTCCCTTATGATTTTTAGTCTAGTATCACATCTCCCTTTCTATGGGTGAAAATTTGAATGCTATCGCACTTCCTCCAGCCCCAACCATCAGTAAACTAGCTCCTGCTACACCTGAAGGATAAAAGAAGACAGACTTACCACTTTCATCCTCTTGAGATAGATGTCTGTCAGTGTTACTGCTGTCGTCTCCATTGCTGTCTGAACTGCTTCCTTCATCCAAAGTGGTCTGCTGCTCCTGCTTGGGAGCTTCTTGAACTGGTGATGCTGCAGGCTGTACCATACAGACATTGGTTTCCACTGTTTCAAAGAAGGTGGAACCAGCAGCTCCTCCCTCAGGAACCAATCTGCCCGAGTCCATCTCATTGGAACTGAGTCCATCTGTAAGACAATTTTTTGCTTCTTCGCAATGTGCAATCTCTCTCCTAGTTGGACTTGATGTGCCTCTGACAGGATCACTCACGTTAGCTATTTTCTCTGCTGTAAAATCTAGCTGCGGAGGTGGCACAATGAGGAACAGTTTCGGTTTCTTCGAAATAGGAGGTGGCTTCTTGTTTGGTGATATACCCTGAGTCTTGTTTGGAGAACCCGATGGCACCTGAAACGGTGTACTAATAAGGCCAGAGTGAGATTTTTCATTCTGCACAGGAGACTGAGGTGCTTCTTCAATGTTTGTTCCTGATACATCAGCTTCAAAGGTTTGTATTAGACCTGCTGCATTTCCAGGTTTTTGACCACTGCTGATCTCAGGTGCACTGTCACTGAGATCTGGAAGTGAACTCTGAGGAGGAGTTTGAACTAAGTTTTTGAAGGAAGGACTATGAGTTTTCATCTCTTCATCCAGGCTGTTACTGAGCCTTAGTGAAAGAGATGGTTTTAGAGAAGGCTGTGGTGAGAAAATTACAGTTGCTTTTTCCTGAGAGTTGGCTTCAGAAATAGATCCAGCTGATTGTTCAGTCTGTGCTCCTGTACATTTTTTCACAGACCTCAGTTGTACCATTTGCAGTGCTTTGGTGGTTATTAAGGGCATTACAGGCCTACTGGAGTCTTGCTTGTTGGCTGGCTGTTTCACTGCACTGGAGCCAGAATCATCCTGATTACATTTCTTAAAAGAATATTGTGTGAATTTAGTTGCATCTTGTGTCAGTTTGGGGTCAAGAGGTGGTGCTGGTGGAGGTACTACATTGGGGAAAATGGAGGAAGAAGGGGCAGAAAAAGGACTGAATGACATTTCCTGTGGAGGAGAAGGAAACCACGGACCACTCAGGGGAAAGGAAGGATTTATAATAGCTTCTGGCGGGGGTGGAGGGAAGCTGGGAGAAGCTGGTAATGGAGGCAGATCCATTCCATCTGCTGGGGCAGGGGGCGGAGGAGGGAGAGGATGATCAGGGGAATGTGGAGGTGTCGGAGGTGGAGGACCAGCAGCGTCAGGAGGGGAGGTCAGGGCTGGGTCCAGTTTCTTCATGTTCACACTCCCTTCAGTAGATGTATTGGAAGAAAGAGAAGTGGAGGATGAAGAGACGGATACTGAAGATAGCAGAGAAGATTTTCTCTCAGGCACTTTTGGTTTCAACTTGGGTTTCCCATTTGCTGGTGACATGGATTTTAAAAACACGGGCACTGGAGTAAGTGCTGTGGGTGTATTTGATTGACTAGAATACCCACTAGATGGTGATGTGACTCTGTGAGACTTCTCTGGAGAAGTGTTCTTTGGTTTGGCCAGTCCACTCGCCACTTGGGGCATAGAAGCCCTTGAGCCGTCATTGAGGTGGCTGATGCTGTAATCATTGAGGTTGGCTGTAGTGCTTGCAGAACGAGCCACTGGACATTTAAACTGATCATCTGGCACGCCAGCATAGTCACTGTAGTAACCCCACTGGTCAGCACACTCGGACTTGATGCTGCTTGTGTCACTCTGTGATGGAGTGACAGTACAGAGAGAGTACATATTTGGAGCTGTTGTGGACATCATGCTGCTACTTGCGCTGACGGAGCTCTGGCTGCGAGAGCGCAGCACCCAGGGATCCTCATAATCACTGCATGGACTTTGGGATGGGGAACTACCATTTTTGCACTGAAGGTTTAACTGCAGTGAATGCTGGAGGGTAGCAATTAGTGTTTCATCAAGTACCTGTCCACTGGACTGGGTTTTTTTCTTCGGGACCCTTCTGAGTGAGTCTGTTCTGGATGGTGGAAGAGGTGGCTTCTTTGCTTTTTTCAAAGATATGTTTCGTATGAGGGATTTGTCACTGTTGCTTGACCGCTCGTCTTGATTTTTCTTCTCATTTCCATCAAAAATATTAATCACACTGTGCCTGGGGTTTCCAAAACCATTATTACTATTGCATAGTTTACCTGACTTGAGTCCAGAGTCCATATGCATGGTAGTGTAGTAGCCGTCATGGTCCACTGAATACAGAGAACTTGAATCTTCTTTGACAGAAGTTCTCTCTAGGCTGCTGCTACTCACGTTGCTTACAGGAGTGAAATAACCTGCAGTGGCACAGGTTGGCTTGTGTGAGGGAGTCTCATCATTTTCTCTAGATTTGTACACCCAGTGCTCTGTGCTGTTTATACTGTTGCTTTGTGATCTGTCCCCTGAAAAACTGGATTCACTCCTGCCATCGCTATCCTGGGAGTGGCCTGGGAAAGGGAGATTGTTTCTACAGCTATAGCTCATACTTTGGGACGTATTCTCCACATTTCCTGGAGTGCTGAGGGATACAGCTGAGTCACCAAGGGAGAGCATCATGATAGCATTAGACGAGATAGTGTCTGAGGTCTGGGAGTGGCGCGTTGAGCTGCTCTCACTCCAGTTACCGCTAGAAGAATGGTGATCTTCTTTCATGCTTACTGCATTGTTGGCAACAGGACTGTCTCTGGGTTTTGTGTAGGAAGGTGAGCTGGTGATTTTACTATCCAATGGTCCAGCACTCTGGGTGGTATGAATCACAATAACTTCTGAAGAGGATGATATCGTGGCATTTGGTATGATGCTGGTTGAATATGTGGCATGAGGAGAGACCACACATGCCGGGCTTGCAGCTTTTTCACTCTCATAACTTCTCACCTCTTGGGACTTTGGCCTTGGCAGTGTCTCAGTCCTCGGGTTATTCCTCATATGGACCACACTATTATCAACCTGCAACTTGCTTATCTGGTTTGACAAAGTGCCAGCGATGTCGTCTGCCTGGTTAGAGATGCTCTGCCTTTGGTCTAGTGACTGCAGAGACACTCTTGCTCCAGGTCGAGGCAGGCTATGAAAACCCATGTCGTTATTTAGGCGAGAGGCAAATATAACCCCAGCGGAATCACTCATCACAGACATGTTTCCAGATGAGCTGGAGAACTGAGACATCTGGGCCGCAATCCCTTGTCCTTTCTGTGCTCGTATTCTTCTCACTGAAGGGGGCACGACTTTGACTTCTTCTGTCTGGCAGCTGGTGTCCTTGGTTTCAGATCGCTGCATAGCAGAGCGGTAGCTGTCTAGTCTCCCTAGTGTGGAATAGTGATCTGGGACATACATTGAATGCCCACGGAAGTCACTTTGGCCAGTGCCAACTGCTGGAGTCAAAATAAAACAACAATTATCCCTCGAAAACACAAGCACTTCACTATTTCCGTGTTCTTATTAATGTAAAAGACATCATAGGTCACATTCATTATTAGATCATTGTTCCCTTTGCCCTTGGCGGTTATACAGCTGTGGAGAGATGTTCGTGCCTTCTGAAAAACCATGCAGTACCAACAAACACTGCTTATGCATTGTATATTTTCTGCATTTCTCGTCCCATTTTCTTTATTACGAGGGACTGTTTGCTTATGGAATCTTGTGTGTTCCTACTGCTTATTCCACATGACATCTTCTATTTATGACATGATAATAATTTCCACAGCAACCCATTATGTTACACACCAAATAATACTGCACGACTTCCAGAAGGGAAGCAGCAGGAACAGACAAAAGCCTGAGAAATGAAAATCTTGGTTCTGTACTAACATCTTGGGAAACAAAGAATAAGGAAAAGGAATCATTAAAAAAAATTAAAATCTGCGGAACTGTTTCTAAACACTATTCTTTTCAAAGTCCTTCAGAAGGCACCAGCATCTCTTCAAATCTTTGTGTGGGCTAAAGAATTGACAGTGGGAGTTGCTGTATCACAAATAAAGCAAATGTTTAAAGAAAGCAGTAAAAATAATATATTACTTAAATTTGTAAAGGATTAAATACCATTTCCCGTTGGAATTATTTTGTATCTACAGTAAAAGAAGAAAATGGGGGTGGAGGGAAACCAAAAAAACTAATTCAACTGATGATCTTCCAATGCCCAGCACCATCAAACACCCGCAACCCTTATTTAAAAAGCAAACAGAGACGTTGAAGACCACTGTGTTTCCTGTTTATGAGGCAAATACCATAGCCAGGGGTAAACAGACTTGGAGGACAAAGGATGAAGAATGTATTAGTTCAAGATATATTATCATAGTTATTTATTATTTGTATTACTGTAGGGCCTAGAAGCCCTCTATACAGCTATTACTAAATCAAAAGAAAGGACCATCAGGTTATTATAGATTTATATCTTTATAGGTCTTTGTGCCAAGAAAAAAACCACCACCATATATATTGTTCTTTAAACAGCATTTAAAACTGGACTGGAAGGGCTCTGAATCCCCATTTCAGTTGTGCTACTACAGTAAATTGCAAACAGAAGAGGTAGCAGAGGAAAGAGTTTGTCTACACTCTGTTTTAAAATCCATTGCAGTGAGTCTCAGAGCCCGCATCTACAGACTTGGATTCCTGCTAAGGCACTAAAAACAGCTGGAACAGGGGGAAAGTGGTTGCTTTAAAACTCCTGCCTGCAAGCTGGTCTCAGAAATGACCCAGTGGCGTTTCTGAGTTGGCACCCTCTCCCACTACCTGCCTTCTTTCTTATTTGCTAAACACAACTGGATTGGTAGAAGAAGTGTTTTCCCCATTCAGTTTTAAATACAGTTTAAAGCACGTTCAATTATTCTTATTCTTGGCATCTATCAGAGTGAAAAGGTATTTGGGGGAGGAGGGAAGGGTATTGCTTGGGGTGATGTTTCTAAAGCGAAAGCAGCACATAAAAGGCTGAATTTGTTTTACTTTTTTCAAGATAAAAAAGTAAACTTTAAGCCATTTTATGCCCATTTTGTTTGCTTGTGTGTAGATTCTTCTGCTCTCATGAAAATGCAGAATTTTTCTGCTTCAGCCAAAGGAATGAGAAATGAAATTAGATAATTCTTTGCTGGCAAACAGCTAGAAAGTTCTAAGTACATGAGCCTATCAGAGCAGACAGACTATAGCAGCCAATTAAGGTACAGATTTGCATAATTAGAGTTTAGTTATTGAGAGAGCCATATAATAAGAATAATAATATTTTTATTATTTGTATTTATATTACAGGGTCAGGTTCCTGTTTTGCACAGTGCTATAAAAACACAAAGTTAGACATCACAAAGATCCCTGCCCCTGTGATGTGACCAGGTGACAATTATTATTAGCCAGTTAGAGATAAGGAATTTGTGTATTACATAGAAAAATAGCAGTTGCGATTTGACAAAAATAGACAGAATGTAGGAAACTGTGTGAGAATAAACTGCAGTTATGCATCATAGTAGGTATACAATATCTTTGTATTCTGATTGATTGAGAATTACTTTTCAGTGTGTATACACACACACACACACAGAAAAGTTTATATAAAGATAAGCTAAATTTGTTCCTCTACAACAGCCAACTTTTAAAAATACATGGAAACACACTTCACATTTGTTTAAAATGTTACACGTAGGGAAACTAAATATTCAGCATAATAGTACCATTCACAAAGCAGGACAACACCAAAGATTTTGACTCAAGACAAGAAGCTGAGAAATTTAGAGTGCAAGTAACTGGGACAAATTTATTTACTGTAAATATGCATGGAAATTTTAAGCTGATTGGAACAAAACAATGTCAGGACAATTTAGGGCCTAATCTAGCAGTCTTTATGCACATGCAAGGAGTGCAAAATTTGACTCAAGGTAGGTAAAACTTTAGACCCCAGTATTGCAATCAGATCCAGGTAGGCAGATCCCTTGCAGAGCCCCATGACTTCACTGAGGCTGCACAGTTGTAACAGGCAAACAGTGTGCAGTCCCAGTGAAATCAGCGGCACTCTATGCAGGTGCAAGGGTCCACTCACAAAGCTATAGCTGATAGATAAGGGCCTTAAATTGTAGGCTAATTGTTTCAAGTAATATATTCTGAAAAGTGTCTTGTTTTTGTTTTTAAAGAGAACATAACTTTGAGGTTTTAAAAAATTTCTGTTAAAAAGGACTAAGTGACAAATTGTGAAATTGCATTGGTCTATTTCTGTCCTCAGATGAGTGCACAACTCCCTTTGAAATCAATGGAAGTTGTGAGCCCTGTCTAATTGCACAATTATGTACCTGTTTCCAGTTCCATTTCTTGTAAAGGGACAACAAAAATCTACAGGGAAATCTGTGGGAACGCACTGCGCCTCTCTTAAAATGCTGTGGGTTAACCCCAGCTTGGTGGAATTTGGGAGGGAATTTTGTTTTTTTATTGTTTCCCAGGTTGTTTGGAATTCCTCATCGAATGCCAGATAGTCTCTTACACACTCTTCTGAAGGCTCTCCAAAAATTCTTAACCTGAATTGCCTTTGTTGTTACAGCTGGTGGAATGTGTATTGTTCAGCAGCAGTTTCTGAGGAAAACCTCAAACCATTAATGAATATTAAATTTAGAAACCTCTAATCTAATAACAGGTTGAAGTTATGTCTGCCACAACACCAAATGCTGGAAGAGAATTTGAGCTTTGAAAGGATACCACGTATCAGCTAAAAGCCCATTTGGTTGCAGAGGTGTTTAAGCAGACATCAGCAATTTTTTTTTTACAGAAATGAAAATTGAGCTACAGATGTTGCACAAATGTGGTTGAGAATAATCATCATTCTGCTTGGAGTTTTAAAATGGTGGTGTCTAGCACAGTGGCTTGCTGATTAGTGCTGTGCACTACCACGTGAGACACCTGGACGTAGCATCTTACCCATCAAACAGTTGCCAGGCTGGGAATTACTGGGACTACTGAACAGGCAGCTCAATTAGGGCACAATTTAAGAGCAAATAGAGAAAACTGAATATCTGAGTCAAGATGGGCTCATATATTTATAGGGGTTCCAATCAGAAGTGCTGAATAGAGACTCAGTTGAGCTGGGACAGGTTTACAAAGGTAAATACCTGTCACATGACAGAGATCAGTATACCCTGACTTTAGTGGCTACTCCATCTAGCCACTGTAGATTAATCATGCAGATCTGAGAAAAGAGTTTGCCTTTAAGTCCCTAGGGTTGGATGAAATGCAGCTGGAAGAGAGAGCCTCATGCTACTCTGCAGTGATTACTCTGACAAAGAGCAGCAACAGTTAATTGAGGATCATCACAAGGCGGGGTTTTACGCTGAGGTAAAACAGGGTGTAAATGGAAGGGATGCACAAGAGAAAAAGGAGTCGAATTGTTGTTACAAAATATTGTGTTTGTTTCAACCAATATATAAGCAATCTCTCTTTCCAAACCTTCTGTGTCTGGCTATATGATTATTTCTAGCACTTCTCACTTATGCTTCAGACATGTTCATGAACTTAGCCCAACTCATGCCCTACTACTAGGCCTTCTCCAAAGGTGGTAAGCTGGGTAAAGGAATGGTGCATGTGCAGTGCTAGCACTATCCCTGTTATCACATGTAAGCAGCTTGAGTCACTTCCTCCTCTATGTTTTCCCCTAGCACTTGCACAAGTAGATAATATCTACACAACAAAAATCAACTTACAAGTACATGAATTTGCACTGGGTGCTCCATAAAGCATCTGTGACATTTGATAGGGGGAAAAAAAATCCCACAAAATCCTACAGTACTCCACAGAACTGTCAGCTAAAAAGTGTTGGATCCTTGTAAAGATCACTGCTTCTTGAAAATATGAATGTTTAATGGATGACTGTCTACCGGATGGGGAATCAAGATGGCTTTGGTTCTGTTCCTTGCTATGCCACTGATTCAACATTTGACCTTGGGCATGGTCATTATCCTTAACCTCTCTGTGCTTCACTTGCCCCATCTGCAAAATAGGGATAATACTTAGTTGCCTCCTAAGAGTGTTGTGATTAACTGTGAATTCATTAGTGTTTGGAATGCTCTTTGTGACCCTCAGATGAATGGTACTATAGAAGTGCAATGGATTAAACCCAAAGCCAAGTATCTCAATGACATTCAGAAGCTGCAGCCTTAGAAGTACCACCAGTGAACAGCACAAATGCCCAATGACCCTAAAGGAAATAATATCCTCTCCGAGGACTATGTGGGATATGTATATAGAGAGAGACTGAGAGACCACCAGGATTTGAAATCCCATGGCTTGAGTTGCCTGACACTGGCAGGGAATCTATACACGCCTGTAGAACCTAGAGTTATCTGGAGTTCTAGCGGAGAAGGCAGGCGATCAGGTGCAAACCAAAAATATTTCTATAAGTATACAGCAA